CATATTCGCGCACTGGCAACTGCACCGTAACTATACCGATGCAACCAGTGGAGAAGGCACCATTGGCGAAGAAAGCACTGACATAAAGCATGATGTCTTTCAATGAAGATTCGTCACAGGTCAGAAAACACCACACTGCTCTCTTCATTGTCGGCCGAAATGTGCGAATCAGTCATTTATCAATAATTCCGAAAAAAAAAATACTATTCTCTCATCTGATTCACGAGGATTTTCCATCCCTGCAAGCATTGAATTTTGCGTTTTGTGCGATGAAAGGAGTTGTAGGACTTATAGGTCAAATAGAACATCATGGAATTTATTCTTATTCAAAACGAAAACCTAAGGCAAAACTGTCGTTTTCGTAATTGCCAGTGCAGGTTCTTATAGGAATGTGCAGCTTGAAACATTTTCGTTCGCCACCGTGTCACGAGATATGCAACTCCTAGGTGCTTGTAATAGCTAATTTCACCTTCCAGAAGCATAAAACGCCATTAATAGCACCAATTCTCCAGTACTTAACGTATCAAGGTTCTTCACTATGATTCACTATGATCTATAGACGATATCATTCTTCCGTAGAATATAGTCCCATATTTTACGAGAGCCATAAATTATCGTGCAAATATAAAGCGTCCTCGCTGACCTTTCTCACAGGGCTCACTTTTTCCCTGTTTCATGATGGAATCACGACTTAATTACCAGAATATGCATTGTGGCTTGGTTTGCTAATGCTCAAACTATGCAAGGAGACACTGGAGAAGCCTTAATAATCGCCTCAGGAATTCCGTTCTTCATTAACTCCTGCTCGTGCATCCGTGGACATCGTCAGGAACTCTTCGTTTCGAATCCAAAGCCTGCACGATTAAACTCAATGTCCGCATTGAGCGCCATTGATCATGTAACCCGATCCGGAAGTTCATCGTATTTTCTCATACGCCCGAATGCCAGGAGAAATTCCCCGTTTCGTATCTCTACAGAATGGCCTCAGCGGGTTCACGGTGGAATCCTTCCCTGCCGTCTGTCTGTCGACAAGAAAGCATTCCAGGATGCATTCCTTGCCTATTCTTTCTCCATGCTGGAACTGCATTCCTTCGTCGATCTGTCAGACTGCTGAGAAACTCGGATGCATATTCGAGAACGAGTAGGAAATGCAGTGTGGTTCCAGTCCATCATTGTTTTTGAAGACGGATGAGAAAAGAAAAAAAAAGGGGGTGAGTTGCACAAGGACAAAGAGAATCGACTAAGGGAGACGGAGACAGAGGAGACTAGAGACAGGCTTGGGCATAGGGGCAATTTGTTGGTGAAGGCTCCATGGATCTCAGGCTTGTCAGTCAGGCTGTCAAGATAACATTAATAGGAGCTGTGATGGGGAGGAGACCACACAGGAGTCCAAGCCTATGTCCCATGAATCATTAACCGGTCCCCCATAGCATACACATGCCCAGTGCCCATTGCCCAGTCACTCTGGTCGGGCCAGTCTCCCCATAAATGTCTGTACGCACCTACATACCGACACACACCACACACACATATATATGCTCACGCATACGTACGCACACGAATAATCTCCTCCATCTACAAATCGCATAAGCATTATATCATATTATACCGGATTAGTTTTAGCACGGTTACGGCTTTGTTGCAGGACAGACGAGGACCAGGTTTTATTTATTTATTCTTCTGTTTCTTTATTGGCACTTAGGGGCTTAGGAAAAAAAGGTAGAGATTAGGATCACACTGCAGGGGCCAGGGGTATGGAGGTTGAGGAGGGAATGTCGTCGTATGGGGGGGACGTCATCCCACTCCTCCAAGTCTTCCCACTCCCACTACCTAGGTGAATGAGGCCTACCTGTCTTTTAGTGATTGTTATCGGAGCCTCAGGACTCCGGCCATTCATTTTCATTTCATCAGATACGCGCGTTGTTTTACGTCTGTCTCCATGGCAGGGGCTAGGAGTATACAGCCCTCCTCCTATGCTCAGTTCCCGCCATGCCCCTGCTTCGAATATGTACGCCATTATTCATGTCGCTTCCTACAAGTTCCGAGTCCGAACCTCTTGTTTTGGCTTCACAAAGCGACATTAAAATGCATTTCCCTTGGGAGAGTAATGAAGAGATAGGGTCCCTCTTCGGTTGGAGAGAGAGAGAGAGAGAGAGACAGAGACAGAGAGAGTGGTATGGAATGCATACCAACCAACGCCTCGTGTCCCCTGGTGAGCAACCCATTGTTTTACTAGTTGTCATGCTGGGACTTCAGTGAGCCTGGGAATCCATCAACTGTCCGTTTCTCACAGTGAAAGCAAGCGTATTCTCGGATATGCAGTGCATGTGTACATAGCTTGCGCATAATTTCTCACACCTGGGGCGCAGAACACACCTGATGCCACCTGATCAGGTAATTAGTCCTTAGGAAGGGAAGGCTTATGGAGATGCGAGATTGAGGGGGTTTACAAGGGTTTTCAAGCCGTGGAACATCTCTCCCTGCAGGCAGGGATTGGTGTACAAAGTAAACAGTGTCATCCTGATCAGCAGGGTGCCGCTGTCTGGGCAACTTGACCTGGGCCACTAATCTGGAAAGACAATGCATGGGGTTTGAAGGGGAACTTGTTATCAGTGTACGTGGCGCCTAGCCTGTCTCCAGCGTCCTCCTCCCCCCCCCCCCCCCCCCCCCCCCCCCCCCCCCCCCCNCCCCCCCCCCCCCCCCCCCCCCCCCCCCCCCCCGCCCCCCCTCTCCCCACGGCGGCGGGCACCAGTCTCCCCTCCCTTTTACTTATACATTTTCACGTGTTATGTGCTCGAATGTGAAGTTTCAAAATCTTCGCCAATGTCAAATTCCTTTTATTTCTGGACCGAGAATATAAACTCTGGTGATGCATTATAGATGCCTCTATTCTCCCCTTCCACGAATTTCTTCTTATGTCTTGCTCTCTAAGCGAGAGAGGAAAGAACACGGGCAGAGAAAAAAAGCCAAGATTCCACTCACTCACTTGAAAATGGAACTATCGCGAACATTCACACAAACAGGACATGTACTGACGTAGTTGATGTGGAAGGGTAAGCGTATGATTAAGACAAAAAAAGGCTGAGATCTTGGCTCCTCTCCAGACCCGAGAAGCACCCGGACTCCTTTGTACTGATGGAGGGAGATGGAGCTTGAATCATCATATCACAGTGTTGCCCTCCTGTCCTGATGACAAATACTTGCTCGCCTCGCCTCCAGATGAAACCCTGCAATGGAAACGCCACAGTGTCTGGATTGGATGATCACCAAACTTAACGGAAAGTATTTTCATCTTGAGTCTGGCATGATCTCAAAGGTTGGAACGCATACCATAGTACGAGTACATGAGCTGCCTCACACACACTACTCTCTGTTTAATAGCCACGGATTTAATGTGTCTTGGGAGATGGCAAGGAGTCAGTAGAAAACCGGACTCCATATCTCGGAAAGATGACACCATAGATGCCTGCCTAATAGGAGACTGTGATGTCAATAAGTGACGTCTCATCTGAGAGATGACATGAGATGGTTTGCCCATTTTCAGACGGTGATGTATGAGAGATCTTACAGCAGGTATAAATGTTCCCCAGGCGACGGCTCTCGGGGATGATTAATTTCTTTTGGGGCAGTTTGTCAACATGGGGCCAGACTTTCTTCCTCGCCATTAGCAAGTCGGAAAGCCACGACGAAAATACCTAAGAAAATACCCCCTCCCCTCGGCTGGGGAAAATTCCTCGGAAATTTTCCAGGAACGTCTACGAGAAAATGTTCGTAATTTTTTCCCTATCTCCACGAAGGGTACGTCTGCCCTGAATTTATAGACAAGAAGACGACCTCGAGACGAAACATTATGCATCATTTCGTCATTCTTGAGGTATCGGCACTCAACATCGGAAGATAACAGTAATTGCTTATGGCTCAGAAAGACATTTACAATGTGAGAAATTTCATTCATTGGACCATGGAAATAGTAAGCTAAGGCATGAAGCCTCGAAATGGCAAGGACCTTTGCCTTTCGGCTCACAGGGAAGAACGAAATATGGAGAGGCCTGGGCCATCGACCGGATGATCTTCTTTACAAGGATATAAATCTGACATAGCAGAATACCATAATGCAGCACATTAACGAGAGCAGAAGGAAGACGCCACGCTCGGTATCTCATCAGGTCTTTACAGAATTGCCAAAGGCTGTCAAGGGCAGTGCACGCAACCAACTAAAGCAGAAACTGTAACACGTCGAGGCAACATTGGCATTAACAAAATAAGTACACGCGTTTTGATCTGAAATGATCACGCAATGAGCATCGTTTGAAATCGAGTAATCGAATCCTTGTGAAAAGGTAGCGTAAAACTGCTTGTCCATCACTCGAGGCTGGGAAAATCGAAACGTTGGTCCCAAGCTGCTGGCCAGAAGACCAGACTAATAAAGGCTAATTGACAGTGTTTACAAACGAGAATAATTTTTGAGGTCAAATCTAGGGGAGGGAGGAAACGACACCTGTAACTGAAACCATCTGGCGTCGGGCGGCCGAAAACCCATTTGGAGGCGCTGAAGGATATCCTCAGGAAAAACATGATCCACCCCCCGTGGAGAATACTAACAAAGTTGCCTTTCAACCCACAACATGTCACTTGGAACAAGACTTCTGCGCTAAATGGATTGGAGACGGCACGAGGAACCAGTGCGGCTTTGCCCCCCTTTTTCTTTTCATTTCCTCATTCAATTTGCAATTCATGAGCGACAGCAAAGCTGGAGATAAGGGGCGCGTGCGTATTCTCTCCTTGTCTGGCTTTCCATAGAGGAAATGATAAACATTCTATATAACATTTTTAGACTGTCCCATATAAACAGGAAACCTACAGCGACGAAGTAGTAGGCCTCGTCCATCACGATATGTATCAGACTCTTATTTAATCGTGTCACTCGCTCATTTACTTTGCGAACCTGGAATTTCCAGACTAGAAGATAAAAATAATGGGAATGTTAGGAACAGAAATGCCTACCTCTTGTAGACTGGACGGAAGGCCGTGGGCGGTGAGCTACGAGTGGACTGGAAATTCGCTAATCCGGATGACTGTCGAACTCGTTCTTCTTCTGATGAACCAGAGCCCGTTGAGCTCCGGCTGCTATTCACAGTTGCCAACAGACTTTGAGCACCGTAGTAAGAAGGAACACTGGCACCCGGTGGTGTCTGCGGAGGAGTATCCGATAAAGGGAGAGTCGGGAATGTCCCTACACCTGCATACATGTTACCACCACCTCCTCCCGTTCCAGTACTCGGAAATCCACTATGGTAATTTGGCGCTCCTCCGGGACTATAGCCATGCACGAGTCCTTGATTATTCATGGTTCCATAAGCCGACAGGGGAACGCTGCAGTCAACGGTGCTCCAGGCGGATGGAACTGAAGGTGGTGGCGGTGGAGGTGCAGGTGCAGGAGGTGGGGTCTTGCATGCTGCTGTGTCAGCCAGGGACCAAATCTTGGGCTTCTCGTCGCCCACACGCACCCCGTGATTCTTTCCGTCGCCTTGCAAATATGTTGCTCTGCCGGATACGGATCCTCCACTTTTCACTCCATCGTCTCTCGAACAACCGTTCGGCAGAAGGTATTCCTCCGTCTCCCCTTCTCCGCCTGATGCACCTGCGCGTTGTAAACATTGAAAACCTCACGCCGTCTTGCATAGTTGGGCATGGTAGTCGAGAAGATATTTAAAATTGTCCCCTTACTCTCTGGGTCAGGACGAGAATCCCGGAACGACCCCTTTTCCTTATCGTGGTCGTCATCACTGACAACGGTATCGTCCTCTTCGACCCGGTTTTTAGGCTCCCAGGTCATCTTGTTCTCCTTCTTGAGACGTCGCCTGGCGTTTGCGAACCATGTGCTCACTTGCGTCAACGTCATCTTCGTTATGATGGCCAACATGATCTTCTCGCCCTAAAATAAAAACACTTAATGCGATCGCTGTCGGAAAAAATTTCTGCCGACTTGCCGATTCGAGCAGATGTACACATTTGAATGAAACATCTTTTCATGCTTCGGTGAAAATCATTACTTACGTATGCGACGAACCCAGATGCTAAGAAGCGTGACCCCTTTTACTAAGAAAAAATCCTAGTGTTTCAAGAGTCATGAGCGTCGACTTGAAAAGTCAAGGAAAGAGGGGGTTCGGCCCAGGCCCGTAGCCAGAAAGCTTTCTCTGAACGTCAACCAAAGCGAGCAAAGTATTTGGGACGGCTGGGACTCGCTCCGCGGAATGTTGCAGCGCGTGAGAGTCGATCATTTTGCAGTCTTCTGCAAAATCAATTTTCTGCTGGCAGTTGCACTTCATTTGTCATATAGATGGAAGAGCACGCGCTATTCCATCTGTCTTTCTCGAAAAAAAAAAGGAGATGCCTTTAGAGTGGTAAAACTTTAATTTGAGGGTTTTATCCCATTCCACACGCCTGACTACGGAGTTGCGGCGGGCACCTAGCGACATTGCATTCCCCTCTCAAACCTCAGCCGTGCTCTTTCGAAAGTTTGCAGCCGAGAAAAAAAGGAAGGGTCTCGGCGATTTCGATCCTCCGGGGTTTTACTCACTTGGCTCACTGTCTTTGGTCATGTTAGCTTTTTGGGAGGGAAGGAGCAAGAGGCACGCATCTCCGTCTCCCCTCCCCCACCCGCCAAAACAATGGTTTTCTTTTCTACCCGCCGGAGGCAAAATATTGACTATCCACATTTACATTTATTATTATTATTTCTTGCCGTGAAGAATAATCATCGGGACGCTAAGACTTCTTTTTATAGTACCTTGGTTGGATAAGGATTCTTTTTGTGCTCGTTGAGCCAAGCCTTCAGAGTCGCTGTGGATTCTCGGGTTGCGTTTTTCCTTCGGGCTGCGAGGTCATACCCTGGCCCGTACCTGCGGGGGAAGAAAAACACTCCATGAAACTTCCAGATATTTTTAACCGTCAGGGCAGAGGCAACTCTAATGCTATTTCATGTGTGCAACACCCCTCCCTTCCCCTTCGACAGCCATTACTACAAAATGTTTCCAACGTTCGTCGATGCGGCTGAAAGAAATCAGGCTGCTAGAAATTAGGGGAGAAAAGTGAGTAGGAGGAAAGGATATCATATATCAGAGGAGATAAAGAGAGCAATGGTGTCACTGGAGCTTTTCCGGTCCACGGTTCTTGGCGCCAGTCGCGACTCGCGATTCAAGTCAAATGCCGTTCTGGGGTCGCCTCTTCGGCTCGCGAGGGGAAGAAAGACGGGGGAAAGGACATTGTACATGCCAAACTACACCAGACCCTTCGTCCCCCCTCGATCCTATTCAAGCCAACTATTTCCCATTACTGATACTGATTTTTCTGCCTGTCAATTGTCAATTCATCCCTGCGAGTAAAAGCCCTCTCACGTGCATTGGGAGCTGAAAGAACGGCTTCGTACGCTTGAAGGAACACGTTGTCATGAAAATCCCCTCATTGCCTGAAATCGCAGTGCAAGAGTCATGCCCCGAGCCTGCCCTGTGCTGTTCCTTTCCCGGTCTTTATAACTTATGATGCTTTGAACTCTCGGATAAAGATCAAAATTAATGTTTCTATTTTCATATGGACTTTTATGGGAATAACACCAAAGGATTCCTAGAGGAGACCATGGTAGATTTGATCGAATTGCTGTCTGAGCCAGTACGAGGACTTCATGCACAAAACGCGGATAGGTCAAAGAGTCTTTTATATTTACCCGTAAGCGGCAAAAGTAGGATCGTAAGGATAGTATCCTGTCGCTGGAGTGGTTGCAGCGGACCAGCAGGCAGCAGCTGCTGCTGCTTCGGCTCCCGCAGCTGCTGCAGCACTCTCCTTCAGTCCATATGGAGCACCCTGTGAAGGAGTGCAATTAATTTTCTAATTAACCAATCAACTACCACGAGCTCAATTTTCCAACTATGATAATCGAATCGGCGGGATCTTACCAAGGTGGGATAAAAGGCTGAGGTATCCATGGCACCAAGGCTGGGATAAGAGGGAGTCTGTTCCGGTGGCGTCGGATAGACGTGTGTCTGGTAGACCCCAGCCGCCGCAGCAGCAGCAGCGGCAGCAACAGCAGCAGACGCACCAGGAGATGAACTGGGTCCTCCCCCTCCCACGCCTCCACCCCCAAGCCCTCCGCCACTTCCTCCTGTGGATCCCCCACCACTTCCTCCCGATAATCTGGGGTGATAGGCGGATTGGAATGCGAGCCGGGTGCTAGGCTCATATTGGCATGAGCAGATGGGTTGACCCGTCACCGGATCCGTGCTCATTATCCCCCTGGCAGATTCGCAACACGAGGCAGTCGTAATCCCATGACCGGTGGGACAAGGACTCCCTGCACCTGTACCTCCAACGCCGGGGCTTCCCGACCCCCCTGCACTGGCACCGGCTTGCATCAGGAGCTGAAACACACAACGGAGAACCTCAATTAACGCCTCCTCGTTTCAGATTGGGGCTTCTTCCCCTTCCCAAACATGCGACATGGATGTTTAGAGAGGCAGTCGAAGTTGCACAAAGCGATAGCGAGCTCACATGGGATAGAGCAGGCGTTCCTCCGTGCACTAGCCCGTACCTGGGAAGGATAAGTGTATCCGAGAGCTGCCATGGTGAATCACTACAAGTCGGCATGGCACTGACACTGGCAACACATGCTCCCTAGGCTAAACGAAAAGGCTAACTGGACCGAGTCTCGGGGTACTCATCGTCTCATCGACACAGCATCACACAATCCATGTTGACGGGAGGATGCGGATGACGTGGAGTTCACAGTGGAAGAGTGCAACACTGCAGGGAGAGACTGGCTGGACAAGGAGCCAAAGGAACGGACCAATCCAGGCGTGGAAGTCGATGGAAGCTCATTCCGTGACTCCGCCCCCCTTCACTCGTAATCCCTCCCTCTTTTCTTTCATTTCCATGCTTCCCCTCCCCTGTCCAGTTTACATCTTCCCCAAAAAATCACGCATGCAAGGTTCTGTAAAAGCACGTGCGTGCACGGAACATGTTAACGTCGATACGGAACCTGCAATTTACATCCCTCATTCTGCTGTTGGGGGCGTCGAGGACAAGGTGTTCTCGACGATGTCCCATTATAAGGTATCCCTCCCCTGTTTCGCTCGGTTACACGTCCACCCAACCTCGTTTCATTTGTCACGTTGCATAAGACATGAGGTTTTTTTTGTGCGGGAAGCCGTGAGGTGTT